TGTTGAAGAATCTAGAAGATTAGGATTTGAGAGAACACAAAGAATAAATGCACTGGTGCCATTGCGAACGATTTTGAGCCATGTCATTCAAGGTCTCTAGCCATCGATTATTATCCTCTCGCGGACTCCAACCAGGTAATCGACAATTACCGACATGGCTAAGTCCCCTCGTCAATGACTTCATGGATTTCTGTCATGTTTTGGTTTGGCCGCCCCTAACTTTCTTCCAACCTTTTCCTACACTACAAAACAAAGCTCGACGAGGCAGTGATTATAGTAACCAGAGACAAACAAGACAACATCATTATCAAACATGTGAAGAATGAACATCTTTAGAGAAATCTCGTTATTTTCTCTTTATTTCACTTTTAAATATCTTTCACCGACGAAAAGTATCAGTTTAACGAGAGGTTGCCCCAATGCATCCTTGAAAAGTAACCATGTTTGATGGGGGGGGCGATTCAAACACCAAAGTCTCATTGGACAACACGAGAATAACATGGACTATGCAAAGTGAAATAGGAATGATGAAAAACTGGTAACTCTGTATACTCACAAATCCATACACAAAACTAGTACATGGATTTCATGGGACTACATTACGGAAAGTCAAGTTGATCATATATATGTGGTGCACGAGTGAGTGAGAGTACCTGATATAGCTTCAAATCAGCAACTAATGATGGTCAAGATAAAACTGAAGCTTAAGAACTATTAAAAAGAGTTTAATATAACCCCCCTTCCATATGCTAACCAACAGAGTGAATATCAAAATAGCTCTCAGCAATCAATTCCAACCTAAACAAGATCTGATCAAAGAGAAGGAAATCACACATTGGAGAATAATTGAGAAAGAATAAAAGAAGTTATAACTTTACCATCGCAAGATATACTGAGGCCTCAAGAAGTACCAGGATAAACAATGACTTTATTTTGAGCAAGATTGCAGTAAGCAAGGACAAGAACAGTCAGCAGTAGATAGACAAAAGCATAGAAAGTTAAGGTACGGGAGAAATATACTGAAGCAAGTAAGCGAGCATAAAACAAAAATTAAAACTGATAACAGCAGCAGCGTTTCGCATAGATTATAACACATTTGTTATATTTAAAAGACAGACAGATACAACACAGAACTTCATATCTAAGTACATCAGTTCGGGTTGCTATACCACATCAGCACAGAGACGCAACTGTCAGTTAAAAATCCAAGAGTGTAGCGATAGTAGAAGTATTACTCGTAAAGCAGAAGATTAGGGAGCGAAGATATGATTCCAAAAGTATAATTCAGTGAGATAAATTAAGAAGGAGAAAGATAGAGATGATGAGGAATTCAGAAGGTGAGAATTAGCGAGAACACAAACAGTGGATACACTTGCGCCATTGCAAACGATTGAACCAACCAGGTAGCCTATATCTACCAACATGGCTCAGTCCACTTGTCAGTGACTTCATGCATTTCTGCCATGTTTTGGTTTGTCCGCCCTTGACTTTCTTCCAAGCTACTCCTACACCACAAAAAATAGCTCGTCGAGGGAGTCCGTGGTTAGGCATACGTAACACATATCTCAACCACCTCAACTGATGAAGTTTAACTACTTTATCTATTGATTTGCCGTCCCTACCTAGAACTCGTTTCCTAAAGAACAGCATTGCTTATATGGTTGTCCCACGACACACGAGCAATGCTTCGAAGACACCTGTGATCGAAGACTAGTAATCTACGAAAGTCCTCTACTCTTACTGGCCATGTTTCGCATCCGTAAAGTAGGTCGGAGCGAACTGCTACACCGTACACTCGTCCTTTAGTTAGCAAACGGATATCTCGCCTGCACCATAAGTGGCGCAGATTGGCAAAAGCCAGTCGAGCCTTCTGTATCCGTGCTGAGAGATCGTCAGTCACCAGGCCATCAGCACTGATCAGATTCCCCAGATAAGTGAAACGGTATACACACTCGACTACTTCACTCCCTATCACTAGTTCAGGTGCCGAGGCAGCCAAAACTTGAAGCAACATTTTACATTTCGAGATGGAAAACCGCATCCCGAACATGATTGAATTGTTGTTCAAGGTGGTCAGCGTCTTCACCAAGTAGAACAATGTCACCGGCATATTCTAAGTCAATAGGCGAGCCTCCTGGTAGAAGGTCTACTCCTGAAAAGTCCTAAGAGGATAAGGTTATATCTAGGAGCATGTCTATGACAAAATTGAACAAGAATGGGGGAAGTGGACATCCCTGGCTGATACCACTTGAGGTAAAGAATTCCGATGACAGTTCACAATAAGCTCTCACCCGACTAGGAGTTTTAGAGTAGAGAGCCTGTATAAGGTTAATGTATTTCTTTGGAACACCTTTCAGTGATAGACACTGCCAAAGAACCTCACGATCAACAGAGTCAAATGCCGCCTTTAGGTCCGGGAAGAATATTTAAAAGAAAAATTATCGAACGCGATAAGAATCACCGTGAAACAATATACTAAAGTACTAATATAAATAGTAAAAGCATAACATACTGATGACCTTGAAGTGAACCAATCAGAGTCGAAAAATCCCTCACGCGAAATTTAAAGTACAGTGATAGATAATTTGTATGTTATTATGAACAAAGAAATAGAAATTGTCAAGATATAGTCCTTAGAATGTGTGAAAACAATAGAACTTTCTATTACGAAACCGAATAGTGAATTTTAATGTGGTGCTTAGGCCGAATTATCCAACATGGCTGTTCTGAAAGCGAATCGGGTGTCAAACTACTTGTTATAGTTCATTGAGTTGTCAAGAATGTTAAAGGAAGTAAGATATTACCATCCTTTCTGAATGTTACTCTAAATCTCAACCGTAAGTTTCTTTGTACATAGTAGGATGAAAACTAATTATATCATAGCTGGTTTCAGCTGGTGATGAAAAACCTGTAGGATGATAGCCCTAAGACATAATATTAACTCGACTTTGAAAAGGTGAACTCGGTCTTTTCCTACTACTACAACTACAAATACAAGGAATAATCCGACATGTGGGGTGTGAATATTCAGATCAAAGCTATTATTCCATTGCCAAGCTGCGTCACTTATGACGTAGGCGACTAAAGGACGAGTGTACTGCGTGGTGGTTCGCTCCGTCCTACTATATGGCTGTGAAACATGGCAAGTCAGAGTAGAAGATATTCGTAGATTACTGGTTTTAGAGCACAGGTATCTCCAAAGCATTGTTCGTGTATCATGAGACAACTGAGTAAGCAATGCTGTTGTTAGGAAACGGTAAGGATGGCAGATTAATTGATGAAGTATTGAAACTTCATCAGTTGAGATGGTTGGGACATGTGTTGTTACGTATGCCCAACCACCGACAGCCTCGAAAAGCAATATTTTGTGGTGTAGGTTTAGTCTGGAAAAATGTTAAGGGCGGCCAAACTAAAAGATGGCACAAATCCATGAAGTCACTGACAAGTGGATTAAGTCATGTCGGTAGATGTCAACTACCTGTTTGGGGTCCATGAGATGATAATTATCGATGGTTAGAGACCCTGAATGACATGGCTCAGAACCGTTCGTAATGTCGCAGGTGCATTCATTCATTGTGTTCTCTCAAATTCTAACCTTGAGAGTTCCTTATCACTTTGTCTTTCTATTTTTAAGTCTATTTCACTGAATTATACTTCTTGAATAATATCTTCTAATCCTAGTCTCTCCGATTACTTCTAATACTTTTACTACCTCTACTACTATTGGGATTTGAACTGACAATTACATCTCTGTGCAAACTTGGTATGGCAACTGAAAAACTGATGTACAGTGCGTACGTACAAAGTTCCACTGATATTGTGGTATTGTGACTTTGAACACTGATGATTGATTACTTTATGTAACTAAAACAGTGTTTTGATTTATTGATTGATTGATTGACTGATAGGTCATTCAAGGTCATCAGTAATTGATGCATTTCCCCTTTGAAAGAAGCATCAGATAAGACAAAGAGAGAGAGAGGGAGACAGAGAGAGATATATGAATTGATCATGATTTACTTGCTAGTAGTAGTAGAAGAGGTTAACTATTACCTATAATGAATGAATGAATATTTCAACAAACGAACAATTTTGATCACTTAGAAGAAATGATCTCTATTGAATATGGATAAAATATACATATATATATATCTGATTATTAAATCATCAGAAATGGAATTCAGTGAAAAGAGAAAAAATCTATCTTATTTACTTCAGTTAAGCATTCATATTAAAATATGAATATGAGTCGATAGAGAGTTTTCATTATATACGGTGAGCAGATAAATATATTAAGGCTTCGGACCGGCAGTAGCTCCATAGGGACTCCAGGTGGGAACGGTTCTACTGTATTTTAAGCAAAAACTAGGAAAATTACGAAAGTAATCGTTCAGAAGATATAAGTATTTATGAACAGTTGTCGATGCAATTATACTTCGGATTCGTTGACCAGAAACCATCAGCAACAACCTACTGTGTGGAAAGTACATACTAGATTCCAGTCGAGGAGGAAATCACGAAGAAGCGCTGGAATTAGTGAATAGGGCACACACTGAGGAAAGCGTCAAAGGAAAAGAGGAAGGATAAGGAACACATTACAGTGAGGAACGGAGACAGATATGAGAAGAATAAACAAAAATTGCAGAGAACTGGAAAGGTAAGCCTAGGAGACTGGAGAATACTGGTCGGAGTAACAGGCGTAAGCAAGTAATATGAAGAAGATTATGGAAACCATGAACTGATCGATGTAGACTACCATTGAAAAAACCTGCAGGCACTGACCGGCCGTTTCCTGCCAGCAGTAGACATCCACAATCCATCTTCGATAATCAAACATAAGATCACTAGTCTCGTGCATGTGAACATCTGACCTTCTAGATCGCTGTGACAGTATCCAATAGTGTTAATGTTTCTTAAATCAGTCCACATTATCGATGAAGAATTAAAAACATGTCAGGGTAATAATAATGATAATAATAAGTCAAAAAATAAAAACATACTGGAGAAGAGGATTAGGCGGCACCAAGAGAGATGAAAAGTTGAATGAATCACTTTTGTACGCCAAGTTCAGGCTTCAATTAGTGGATTGCCAATGCTTCAGTAATGCATACGGTTTCGATTTAATTTCTTTGATTGTATAGAAGATAGATTATTTCAAAGGACCGATTTCTTTTGGAGTTAAGTGGGGAAAAGTTAGTCAGATGTTCTTGTATTCCAGCTATTGATAGCTTTGCATTTCTCCTTCAAAAAAGCCAACTCGGATAATATTTTGAAATACGTTTGGAAAGTGTTCAACTTTGTACATCTAATGGTAAGCTGTTACATAAGAGGAGTAAATAAATTTACAAATGAAAATTGATGAGGCACAAAAAAGGGGAGGTGTATATTCTTAATAATGTCAAAACGCTTTGAGGAGACAATATGAATGCGAATGGCTACATAGTAAAGAACAATTTCTTTACAGAATTAACTCCGTCTGTAGAAGTCCCTTTCGAGGCTACTACTGCCGGTCCCAATCCCGGATAAATGAGGAGGGTTGGACATGTGGTCGGTGACCCCGTCCCACAAAAAACTCGCTAACAAAAGGCTAACAAGAAAAAAAATAATTCCGACCATTTAAACTCTGCCCTGAGAGTTAGAAGGTCTTCATTGAGAAGAGTTATGACGTTTCATGATGAAAGCCAAGTTCCTTCGGAAGTCATGAGGCCGATGCTCCTTTTGAAAGCCAGAGCCCCTCTACGGAGTGAGCAGCCTTGGAAGGAACATCCGCTCTCATACACCCCATAAAAGCACACAAGACCAAATTGGTCACAATCAAATCCTTTCTACACCTTACAGAATTACTTTGATTATCTGAATATTAAATGACAGTCACTTTTTGATTGTATTCAAAGGATATTTTATACGCAGAAAAATGAAATGTATCTATTGGCTTATAAAACTTTACGTCAAAGGATTTGACAAAAATCTGAAAATCAATTATATTCAGTTATGACTTTGTACAAAAAAGTGAACTCTAAACATTGAAGTAAGAGTATGTATAATTCAGTTGTAACTTATCAACCAGATGATAGTATATTTAGACACCTGGAAGCACTAGATAGTCGTTTCATCCTGGTGTATAGGGACTCATCAAGAGAATGCACATCCATCCTGCGATTAGCACGAGCTGTAGACCCATACTGTTGATGAGTAGTCCTATACACCAGAACCAAACAACCGTCCAATACTTCCAGCTTACTAATGATAGTCTAAACAATGATTGATTGATCATTTCCAGGATTCATCACCTGGAATCAATTTATTTGGGTCCTTTGATAAATACAAAACTAACTTTAAATGTTACCATTGGCTGAGATTATAATTCACATAGAAAAAAATCAAGTGAGAACGAATCGATCGATTTGTTTTCAAAACAATCAGCACTGGTGGATAAGTTGGACAAAAAAAATCAGAATATTTCTATTTTAAAGTTTATACCTCCGACATTTAGGTATAATAATTACATTCAAATAAAGGTTGTATTAATGATTTAGGAACCTGGTTGAATAAAGTCAAGTATCTCAAAACAAAAAACTTCTAGGCAATAATATGAAAAAAGACTTCAAATTCACTACATTTTTTTCACGAACAAACATATATATGTCAGTCAGAGTCAGTCAGATGCAAAGTAGAACTTCGTACGTACGTACATCAGTTCATGTTGCCATACCACACATTGGCACACAGATGTAATTATCAATTCAAATCCAATAGTAGAAGAGGTAGTAAAGGTATTAGAAGTAATCGGAGAGGTTAGGATTAGAATATACTATTCAAGAAGTATGATTCAGTGAGAAAAGTTTAGGGAGTCAAAACTAGAGGTGTTGAAGAATCCAGAAGATTAGGATTTCAGCGAACACAAAGAATAAATGCACCGGCGCCATTGCGAACGGTTTTGAGCCATGTCATTTAAGTTCTCCAACCATCGATTACAATCATCTCGCGGATCCCAACCAGGTGGTCGACACCTACCGACATGACTCAGTCCATATGTCAATGACTTCATGGACTGCTGCCATGTTTTGGTCTGGCCGGCAAACATATATACCCGTAACAGCAAACATATATATGTGTATTGTAATTGTAAGAGTACCCTATTGATCGTAATGTAGCAGAACAGAATCTCATCCCAAACATTATTACTGAAGGTAATCAAACGATTCTACATTTTGTCAAAAGCGTCACTAAATAGTAACTCCGCCTGGAACCTCCCTCTAGGGTTACTGCTGATTCCAAGCCCGGATAAAGGAGGGTTTGGCGTAGGGTTATCGACCGTATCCCGCAAAAAAAATAACTCACTAAAAAAACGCTAACAAAAAAGAATAATTCAAACTAATTTAACGCTGCTCCGGGAGTTAGAAAGTCTTTTTTCAGAAGAGTTATAACGTCTCATGATAAAAGCCAAGTTCCTTAGGAAGTCATGATGAGGTCGATGCTCCTTTTGACAGTCAGAGCCATTCCACGGTATGAGCAGCCGAGCAGTTACATCCGCTCTCATACACCCGTAAAGTCATACAAGACAAAATCATTTACAAATCACTAAACAATACCATATCATTTGTACATTTAAAATGTCAACAATAAAAGTATCCTACAGTCAAAATAATAATAATAATAATAATCGATTCTTGATAAGCTAAACAATGTCGTCTGTTGTGAAAAAAAAGTTAAACAAAAATCTGACAAAACTGAACACAACCAAAAAGTGATTAATTAGATAAATGACATTGAATATTGAATTGTTCATTGTTTATCTAATAATAATGATTATAATTTATGAAACATATTTTTCGAATTTCTAAATTTATACAAATTGAACGAATCAAAGCAGTTAAGTAGAAAATATTCAGTCAGTCAGTTAGTCAGTCAGCTATAACGTAGAACTTGATACGTACGCACTGTACATCAGTATTCAAGTTGCCATATCACATTAGCACACAGAGAAAATATGAAAAAAGACTTCATATTCACTATGTTTTTTCACGAACAAACATATATATATATATATGTCAGTCAGTCAGATGCAACGTAGAACTTCGTATGTAAGTACATCAGTTCATGTTGCCATACCATATTACGACACACAGAAATGCAATTGTCAATTCAAATCCTATAGTGGTAGGTGTCAGCGATAATGGAGAAATTTTCGGGCAGAGTTTTTGGAGGTTTGTGTTTGTACACATTTGAAATCATCAATCAATCATCGGTTAGACCACCGTTATAAGAAACATGGAAGTACTGAAAGACATCCGTTTCGTCCTGGTATGGGACTCATCAGCAGTGACAGTGCGCATCCACGACTCTTGCAGCTCCTCACAGGATTCGAAGCCGGGACCTTCGGTATTGTACGCAAACGCCTAACCATCGAATAATGGAAAAGATTAGAGTTTGAAGGTATGATTCGAGAAGAATAACTCAGTGAGATAAATTTAGAACGAGAAAGATAGAGATGATGAAGAATTTAGAAGGTTAGAATGTGAGAGAACACAAAGAGTGAATACACCTGCGCCATTGTAAACGATTTTGAGTCATGTCATTCAGGGTCTCTAATCATCGATTATTATCATCTCGCGGACCCCAACCAGGCAGTCAACACTTTACCAACATGACTCAGTCCACTTGTCAATGACTTCATGGATTTCTGCCATGTTTTGGTTTGGCCGCCCCTAGCTTTCTTTCAGTCTACTGCTAAATCACAAAACGCCGCCGGTCGAGGCAATCTGTGGCCAGGCATTAGTAGCGCATGTCCTAACCACCATCCCCATAGTAGTAGTAGAGATAGTAAACGTATTAGCGGTAATCGAGAACATGAGGATTTCAATAATATTATTCAAGAAGTATAATTTAGTGACATAACTTTCGAAAGAGTAAGATACAGGTGATAAGGAACTCAGAATATCAGAGAACACAAAGAATGGATGCACTGGCGCCATTGCAAACAACGATTTAAAATATCCATTCACCACTATTAGCTTTCTCCTAATTGATATACTACTACTATTACTACTACTACTACTAATTTACTCCTTCAAAACATTACCAACAAGTGAAAAATTACACAAGTGAAGGAAGCAATTTAAAATCTATGATGAATAATAAGAGAATGTCTTAATGATTCATTGATTGACCGACCGATCGATCGATCTACCGATTGATTGATTGGTTGATTGATGTTCGTTTTTGTTTTTTTCTCTTTGAAATGATAAAAAATACGAGTGAGTGAATGCAGTCGTCACACAGTTTTCGTTTTGATCAATGAATTTAGATAAACAGAATTTTTTTTCAAAACAAGACAAAAAACAGAAAGAAAAAAATGGGAAGCGGAAAGCTAAAAAATTTAAATATTAATTCAAATTGTCTATGCAAAATACTGAGGATTCGTTGGCCAGACACTATCAGCAATAACTTACTGTGGAAGAGAACAAACCAGATTCCAGTGTAGGAGGAGGAAATCAGGAAGAAGCGGTGGAAGTGGATAGGACACACATTGAGGAAAGTACCCAACTGCGTCACAAGACAAGCCCTCATATGGAACCCTTAAGGTCAAAGGAAAAGAGGAATGCCAAGGAACACACATTACGCCGAGAAATACAGAAAGATATGAGAGGAATGAAGGAAAACCGGAAAGAACTGAAGAATGGAAGCCCAGAACAGTGTAGATTAGAGAAAACTGGTCGGCGGCCTATGCTCCATTGGGGGTAACAGGCGTAAGTAAGTAAGTAAGTAAGACATTTACACTATGGAATAATACAATGTGAATGTGAATATATTTTTTATATTGGAAAAATAAGTGAAATTCAACACATAAAGAAAAGTGTGCGTTACGCATGTACATTCAATAATCGATTTCTATTTTCGTTCAATAAGAAACCCTGGTGTTTATTCTATTATCATTATTATTATGAGTTTTTATTACTGAGTTTATTTAATTACGCCTGTTAACCCCAAACGGAGCATAGGTCGCCGACCAGTCGATTCCAACCTACTCTGTCCTCGGCTTTCTTTTTCCAGTTCTGTCCAATTTTTGTTCATTCTACTCATGTCTATCTCCATTTCTTGGCATAATATGTTCTTTGGCGTTGATCTGGAACCGTTGACTGTCAGGGTTCCAAGTGAGAGCTTGTCTAGTGACACAGTTAGGTGCTTTCCTCAATGTATGTCCTATTGACTAGCACGGTTTCTTCCTGACTTCCTCCTCCACTGGAATCTGGTTTGTTCTTTCCCACGGTATAGACAACTGTTAATTAATACTTGTATCTTCTGGATGATGACTT